CACGAGTGATGATCCTGTATGAGTGTGTAAAATCCTGGCAGCACCCCCAAACCCACAAGTAGTGATCCTGTATGAGTGTGTAAAATCCTGGCAGCACCCCAAACCCATGAGGGTTGATCCTCTATGAGTGTGTAAAATCCTGGCAACACCCCCAAACCCGCAAATGGTGATCCTCTATGAGTGTGTAAAATCCTGGCAACACCCCCAAACCTACGAGTGGTGATCCTCTGTGAGTGTGTAAATCCTGGTCCCGGTTTCTAGGACCCCTAAGGAGGTTGCTGAGGACGAGGGTCGAGTGGAGAAGAGGTGGTGCAGTAGGAGAGTGAGGTTTATAGGCGTGGCAGTGCTGTCCATCTTTAATGTCCTGGGCCTAGCAGAAGCCTCGTCTGTTTATAGATGGTCATCTTAACCATCTTCCCGGGTCCAGGCTCTTTGATTCCGGCAGTGCAGCGCCTACTCACGCTTGTCTCCTGTGCGTAGGGCTTCCTGAACTCCTCTGAGCTTTCTGAACTTGCAGCTGGGCCTGGCACAGAAGGCTCTCTCAAGGATCATTTGGCCTTAGCGATTGGTGAGTATCTGAGGGTCTGGGAAGTGGAAGTTAAGATCTGGGTTTCCTGGTCTCTTTGGTGTCCCCCCAAATCTCATTCAGTAATTGTGACCCCTGATCAGGAGTTGGAGGCAGGTGGTAGGAATGAATATGATAGAAATAGGTCATACATACGCATGTGTGGCACTGTCAATATTAAATATGATAGAAATGTGTCATACGTGTGTGGCATTTTCAATAATGATGATAGAAATGTATCATACGCATGTGTGACATTCTCAATAATGATATGATAGGGGAGGCTGGAGAGATGGCTCAGTGGTTAAGAGCATTGCCTGCTCTTCCAAAGGTCCTGAGTTCAATTCCCAGCAACCACATGGTGGCTCACAACCATCTGAAATGAGATCTGATGCCCTCTTCTGGCCTGCAGGCAGACACACAGACAAGAATATTGTATACATAATAAATAAATAAATATTTAAAAAAAATAATGCTATGATAGAAATGTATCATACATATGTGTGACATTCTCAATAATAAATTGATAGAAATGTCATGTGCATGTGTGACATTCTCAATAATATGATAGAAATGTGTCGTCCATGTATGAAATTCTCAGTAATAACTAATAAAAAAAGAATGACGAGTTCTGTGCCTCTAAGGACAGGAGTTTGTGAATCTGGGTTGGCCTCCGGGAAGCAGCAGACATCCTGAAGAGCCAAAGGAGGCAGCTTCCCCAAGCTCTAACTGGTTAGCATAGTGAGGGAACTGGGGTTCTCACTACTGACTAAGCAAAGATGAGGTGACTCTAGCTTCCAGGTGACCCCTTCTGTGTATGTTGTAGGGAAAAGCACACTAAAGGTGAAATAGAAAATTTAAGGGGTTGGAGGATGGCTCAGAAGAGCCCTGGCTGTTTTCCCAGGGGACCCTGGTTTGATTCCTAACACCAGCTTGGTGGCCAGCGACCATCTCTAACTCCAGTTCTGAGGGATTCTGGCTTCCAGTGGTACAATATGCATGTGGTTCACAGACACCCATGCAGTCAGAACACCCTACACATGAAATAAAAATAAATCTTTTTTTCTTTCTTTTTCTTTTTTTTTTTCAAAAAGATTTATTTATTTATTTTGTTTACAGTGTTCTGTCTGCATGTGTGCATGCAGGCCAGAAGAGGGCACCAGATTTCATTACAGATGGTTGTGAGCCACCATGTGGTTGCTGGGAATTGAACTCAAGACCTCTGGAAGAACTATCAGTGGTCTTAACCTCTGAGCCATCTCTCCAGCACCCTAAATCTTTTTTTTTTCCTAAAGAAAATGTAAGCTCATGTGCTTTGGGAATTAGCTGGTGAGTCTATGAGGATGTCTGTCTGCAGATGTCCATTGTGGGGGAGCCCATCTGATCACGGGGCTTCAGAGGGGCCGCCTGCCTCCTTTCCATGTGTTCTGATGGAGCGAGGGAAGCAAGCTGGCTTTTCACTGCTTTGAGTTTCCTTGCTGTCTGCAGCTTCTAGTCAAGATACAGTTCTGCTTTTGCAAGGTGACCTCATACTGCTGTCCAGCAAGCATGGGTGAGCAGCCAGGCCAGCAGCTGTGTTAAGAAATCCTGAAAGAAATGGGGATTTTAACCATGGCAGTGTAACATGAAGGGCCGGCTTGTTGGGGTATCTGTCCCACCCAGGTACTCCACAGCAGGCAAGTCCCAAAGAAAATCACACACGGAGTCTACATTAGGTTATAAACTGATTGGCCCATTAGGTCAGGCTACTTATTAGCTCTTACAACTTTTGTAACCCCATTATCCTTATCTACGTTAGCCACAGGGCTCAGTAACTTTCTCAGCTGGGCAGGTTACATCCTGTCTCTTTGGTGGTCTGCGCAGGAGTGGTGGAGGGAACTTCCTGTTTTCCCGGAATACTCCCAGTCTCTTTGCTCCACCCCTACTTCCTGTCTGGCTTATACTGCCTGCCTGGCCAATCAGCATTTTATTATAATATGATTAACAGAATACAGACAATTCTCCCACACCATGGCAGCTTCTGGTTGTTGTCTG